TACTCTAGTGCGAATTTGTACCAGCGAATTTTCCACCAAACGATCATTTTTTAAAAAGTCCTTTTTTAATAACAATTTTTTTGTAATTTGTAAACCTGTAATCTTAATTTCAATAATTCCAATCGATTTGTCGGGAAATTTTACCCCTAACATGTACATACACAAAAATTTTTTAATGCATTTTTCATGATGCGATTAGAGAATGAAATCATAAAATCCCAATTCGCACTAGTGTACCGTTTGTGTATACCAAAACGAAGTGTACCGTTTGAGGGTTAATAGTGTACGTGATGAATTATTACAAATCATATCAGTTTACGACTAGTATACAATATGATGCTAATTTATCAAAGGTAAAACCAATACTGACAATGTAAATATTTATTACTTAAATTCTAATTAATAAAAATTAAATCACTATAAATCCTTCAATTTAAGCTACGGTGGATTAACGCGCTATCTTATAAAACGAGATTCTCAATTTAATCAGAAATATCTGTTCCTCATATATAAAATAGAATGTCGCACGTGTCATATGGTTTCAACATTTTCTTTCGCCCCTTGAGAAAAGTTGTCATTACAAGGCTGTAATAATGCATGAGGCCATTTATAATGCTCAAGGGAGTTTTCATATCTCTAAAAATAAAGCTGATACGAGAGATTTATTTCATTTCCTTTACAATTTTCTTAAAAACCGTAGGAAACGCATTGGCATTTTGAGTCATGCGAGTGCAGCCATTTTGAACGGTGGAATTGGTTACTCAGTTCATACAATATGCACATTTTCGACGTTATTTATAACACTTTTTGTTTCATTTCACCGCCCGAACTACTTTCATTAAGGAGACCATCTTTTATTGAGACATCTACGTGTGAAAGCTGAAAAAAGAAAGAAAAACGCCCGTCAAGGCACACGGTACAATAGAAAATGTATAACTGGCAGTGTCATTGTCTCAGACAATGATTAACGTGTCTGTATTACATTGTCCACTCGGATATATGCTTACGAATAAAATGACAACGCCATTCAACGAGCATTGACAAAAGGAAATGTTTATCCCTTGAAAAAAATACACATAAGCGTTCTCCGCGATAAAAATAAGAAAATTAATGATTCGCCACTGGAAACGTAACTTTATTTTTTTACAACTCTATTTTTCCGTGACGATATTACCAGTGTGACCTGGGCCGGCTTAATGACCCGTTAAAGTGCTATCATAGGCGGAGAAACGCTCGCGTTAATTGGTTTCTCGCGTGATCATGTCAGATGGCATGGCGCATATCATTTATATGATTACACCTGAGAATAAACAACCTCTTGATCTCATTATGAATAAAGTTCGCAATATAATTCGTAAAGAAACTACTAGAATATAATGCATTCTCATATATACTATTTTTCTCTACATTGTCTACATGTATAGAATTCATTAATGGTGTTATTCTAACGCGTCACGTTCCGCTTCTCCTATAGAAATAACCGCGTAATTCAAAAAATAAAAATGCACATTAACCAAAATTACATCGCAAATATTTGTTGAATATTCTGGCTTGCCTTTGATCAATTTGTTAGCATTAATCAATCAACTTGTGTTAGCATTAAAAGTATCTCTAAATGTGTCACGTGTTATTATTATTTTCTATTTAATGTTATTCAATAATTTATTTGACGCACGAAAGTTTTTGCACAATGTGTATCAATGGCAATGCGTTTATTGTGTACACGAAGTAAGAGAGAAGGAGATCGAACTTAATAGAACGCAAGCTGAAAAAGTGGTCCTGATTCGTGACCCCTAATTGGGAGGGAGTCCGCTGAAAGGAATAAATTCTTATGGTTGGGCGCCATTTGCAATTAACCTTACCCGAACAGTCCGGCCTGGCTTGCATTGACGAAGTAAGAGCGTGCTTGTATTATACGGAGAGGTTAAGATTAAAAGTTCCAAAAAATTAAAAAAGGTAAAGATTTATAAGAATTAATAGTGAATTCGATCATTTGCACTACGCTAGATTAGTACGTACTAAAAGCTACTGTGCACAAAATTAGCAGAGTCAAAGCATATAAATAATTTAAACGATTAAATATTCAATAATATAATAATATAATATTCATTTTAATATTAAATATTCAATATTTCACCTTTTTTAATTTTTTGGAACTCTTAACCTCTCCCACGATCTCTTACTTCGTGACCTCTCCGTCTAATGCAAGCAATGGATCAGGCCGGACTGTTCGGGTAAGGTTAGTTGCAAATGGCGCCCAACCATAAGAATTCATTCCTTTCAGCGGACTCCCTCCCAATTAGGGGTCACGGACTAGGACCATTTACATTTCACAGAGTTCGATCTCCTTCTCTCTTACTTCGTGGTCACGAAGTAAGAGATCGTGGGAGAGGTTAGAGTTCCAAAAAATTAAAAAAGGTGAAATATTGAATATTTAATATTAAAATGAATATTACATTATTATATTATATTATTGAATATTTAATCGTTTAATTTATAATATTTATATGCTTTAATTCTGTTAATTTCGTGCACAGTAGCTTTTAGTACGTATTAATCTAGCGTAGTGCAAGTGATCGAATTCACTATTAATTCTTATAAATCTTTACCTTTTTTAATTTTTTGGAACTTTTAGTCTTATAACCTCTCCATATAATACAAGCACGCTCTTACTTCGTGAATGCAAGCCAGACCGGACTGTTCGGGTAAGGTTAATTGCAAATGGCGCTCAACCATAAGAATCCATTCCTTTCAGCGGATTCCCTCCCAATTAGGGGTCACGAATCAGGACCACTTTTTCAGCTTGCGTTCTATTAAGTTCGGTCTCCTTCTCTCTTACTTCATGATTGTGTAAAAGCTCCGCTATCCGATGTTGTATCTGGAGACCAGTGTTGCCAATTTAGTGATTTTGTAGCTAGATTTGGAGATTTTTGAAAGCCTATTGCGACTTTTATTACAAGTTTGCGACCTGTCGAAACTTTGATGTTTTTTGAAAAACATCTAGAGAATTCTAGAGAATTTCAAGCTCGTTCCTAGTCGTATTTTGATATACATTACTAGTGCTATTACTGAAAATCTATAGTATATGTTACGTGCGTTATATATTTTCAGTACTGGCAGTTGGCAGTGTATATCGAAACTCTAGTAAATGGGCGTATTTAGTGGTCTCAACTGTTGAGTCTACTGAACGCAGCCATTAGGTCTGTTCTTTTTACGGAACTGGTGCATAGAGTGCAATAAGTTGAAGTGAAACAGATATACGTTTGTTTCATTTCAACTTATTGCACTGTATGCACTAGTTCAGACAGTGCAGACAAAAAGAACAAGCCTACATCAGTGAACATAATTGGGCGCGTTTTGTAGACAAAATACAAAGTCGTTGCTCGATGGTGCCATTGTCATCCTTCTTTAATCTCGCTCACAGATTATATATAGGGTGACCCATTTTAATCGACGGATCCAAATATCTCCTAAAATACGCCAGCTATAAAAAAATGTTTCAAATAAAAATGGAATGGTGTCGAGGGGGACACATTTTAGTCATATTGTTTTTTTTCTAAGTGGAGGCGTTAAAAAGATATGAAGGTCACCTCCACTTTTTTAAATGGAATTATGTAATTTTTTTTAGATAACGTGATTCCTCTAACTATTTTGCATATAGAAGTATTAAGGTAGATATACCAAAAAAACCAATAGTTTTCGAGATATTTTACACTTTATTTTGGTACATTTTGACACAAAATGTTAAATAACTCGTAAACTGTTGACTTTTTGATTATCGTACCTTAATACTTTTGTGAATAGAATAATAAGATAAATCAAATGGTATAAAGAAAACACACAGTTGCTTTAAAAAAAATATGTATGCAAAATGGATAATTTTTTAAATACGCAACTATGTGTTTTCTTTACACTATTTGATTTATCTCATTATTCTATTCACAAAAGTATTAAGGTACGATAATCAAAAAGTCAACAGTTTACGAGTTATTTAACATTTTGTGTCAAAATGTACCAAAATAAAGTGTAAAATATCTCGAAAACTATTGGTTTCTTGGTATCTCTACCTTAATACTTTTATATGCAAAATAGTTAGAGGAATCACGTTATCTAAAAAAAATTACATAATTCCATTTAAAAAAGTGGAGGTGACCTTTATATCTTTTTAGCGCCTCCACTTAGAAAAAAAACAATGTGACTAAAACGTGTCCCCCTCGACACCATTCCATTTTTATTTGAAACATTTTTTTATAGCTGGCGTATTTTAGGAGATATTTGGATTCGTCGATTAAAATAGGACACCCAATATCTCACTTCGCTGTTTTGAGAATAAGAACTTAAAATATTTCACAAATCCTATTGATTGCAAGCTGATTCAAAAGTAAGTACGTAATTTATAATTTGTAATACTCAAGTAATGTGCGATAAACATTTCCAAAGAAATGCATATACCTTTTGAATAATATAATTAAGACTAATGTAACTGTGCGAGAATAAAAATAAACACGTATCTAACCTCTTTTATACACATCTTTTAACATTTAAGACTCTACGATCATCTGCGATTCCTATTGACCCTGTATTAAATCACAAGAATGGTCGTGACAGTCAATTAGAAGTATAATATAAACTATAATTAACGCTTCAGATTAGCTATTGCTATCACTCTTGTGACTTTGAAATGAGTTTATGACCGTATTATAGACCTTGCATAACTATATGCATGTAAATATATTTCACATGTAGCAAATTTTGTAGACATTATTGGATAATATTTAATATTTAAATTTTTTAGTGCCTCCACAATATACCTGTAACGATGGCGCCAGGAGTCTTTCTAGATGGCGTTCACTTTTCACTACAGACTTATCTTTCTATTCTATGTATAACCTATATTCACTATTCATCGTAATAAAGCATCTTACAAGCATACGAGCACGTTACATGGTGTCAGAAGAAAAACAGAATAAAAACAGAAAAATAGTCGGGAAAGTACCAAAATGGAATCGAATAATGCCATCAAACCGCCCGAACCATTGATTGTGAAGACAAACGGCATGCCTGAAGCGTGGAAACTATGGATTCAACGATACGAGTGGTATTCCACAGCCGTTCAAATGCAGAAAAAGCCTGAAAGTGTTCAAGCTGCGTCGCTAATGGCTGCTATGGGAGCGGACGCAGCTATTGTCTACAACAGTTTTAACCTAACAGAGGAAGAAGCCACAAATACAGCGACGATAAAAGCAAGGTTTGCAGTTCATTTTGCACCGACACCGTCACAACCGTATGTACGTTTGCAGTTTAATAATTTACGTCAAACAGAAGGTGAGACATTTGATTCCTTCTTAACAAAAGCTCGTACACAAATTAATGATTGTGGTTATAATCAATTAGCAGATGAATTACTACGGGATAAGATAATTTTCGGCGTACAGAGTAAAACATTACAACAACGATTATTAGAAGAGGATAATCTCACATTAGGACGCACCATCAATATGTGCAGAGCATGGGAGCGAGCGTCAAAGCAAGTTGAACAAGCAACAGCGATGTCAAAGCAAGGAAGTGAAGCAGTAAATGCAATAAAAGTACACCAGGAGAAAAATAAACAACAAGGGAAACATAAGAAATGCACACGCTGTGGATGACAACATGAGAAGTATAGCTGTCCAGCAATTGATAAAACCTGTCTTAAATGCAAAAAGGTAGGACACTTTGCAAATCTGTGTCGTTCTAAGGAAGGAAAAAAAATGAACGAGGTACAGATGACTAATTATACACAACCAAATGTGGAAGGCGAAAAAGACAGCGAGATATTATACGTAAATGCATTACAAGTTTCTGATGAAAAAAGAAAAGAGGATAACGAGAGTAAGTGACACGAAACATTGGAAACAAAATCAGGTCAAGAAGTGAGAGTAAAATTGGACACAGGAGCAGAGTGTAATGTGATGTCGCAAAAGCAGGTTAAACTATTGGGTGCCACATTGACTTCATCAACGACAAAGGGTATCGTTACATATAATAAGTCAAAAATGGATGTCAAAGGTGAAACTGATATTAAGTTTTACATACGACGCAGGTTAGTTATTATTAATTTTAAAGTAGTTAAAGAAGATGTACGAACTATATTAGGACGGAAAGCGTGTGCCAGCCTTAATTTTGTTAAACGAGTCCATACAGTACAAGACACGTCACAGAAAACAATGGCAGAAATAAAAAACGAGTTGTTCACCGGTTTAGGCTGCATTAAAGGATACGAATACGATATCGAGCTAGAGGAAGGAGGGCATCTAAAGATACACCCAGCTCGAAGGATACCATTCTCATTAAAGGTTGAAGTCAAGAGACAACTTGACAAAATGGTACAGATGGACGTTATTAACCTTTTAACGGCGGGAAAATGTACGTTAAAATCGACCTTTTATTAGACGTAAAATTTATAAATAAATTCAATTAATTTCTTATGTGGAGTCCCCAACCTGACTGCTGGTCGATATATCGACCAGCCCCATCCGCAAGGTAAAGTCCAATGTAAAAAAATTTGGCGCGAAGGTTTGAGAGTATTTTCCTACGTAATTTGATGCGCTGAATACGGGAAAAATGGTGAAAAAAATCCTGGTGGCATCCTTGACCTTGAAAATCGCCATTTCAAGGTCAAATATTTTTTTACTATTATTTTGGCCTCAAAGTTGGTATACCCACGTTTTTATATGCGCCGAGTACAAAAAAATAGTCATATGTGTCGCAAATGTCACCCTCAAGAATATTTCAAGGACACCAGTTATTATAGAACAAGCGTTTGTCAGTAAACATGCTTACTGCCCAAAGTGTCACGAGGAAGCTGCTGAATAATTGTACATCATAAGCCCTTTTACTCACTTTTACTCGTCCATTCCTCAAATAATGACTTTTTCAAAAACCTCTAAATATGAAGGTGGACAATGGCTCCCTAAAATAGTTTTTCAAAAAACATATATAACAATTACATAAAAAATTATAGTAGCTCCATATTTTATGAAAGAAATACTCTGACTTTCGCTGTTAGCGTGACCCAGGATCAACAACGTGGATGTGGCAAAAATGTGATCCCTTTGGGGTGCTTGATTTTCGTGAGTCCCCTTGCCTCTCACGTTGGGGTGCTTGATTTTCGTGAATCCCCTTGCCTCTCACGTTGGGGTGCTTGATTTTCGTGAGTCCCCTTGCCTCTCACGTTGGGGTGCTTGATTTTCGTGAGTCCCCTTGCCTCTCACGTTGGGGTGCTTGATTTTCGTGAGTCCCCTTGCCTCTCACGTTGGAGTGCTTGACTTCATGGTAATGTCGCTTGTGTGTGGTACTCTTCAAAGCATGGTGCTGCGCATAAAGGAGTATCACAACTGGGGCATATGTACATCGTTCGACGTGTAATCTTACGCAAAGAGCACAAATAACACCTTCGACTTGTACCATGCCTCGGGAAATGACGACCAACTAATCGAGTAGGAGGACTATCGTTGCGAGAGATGCTTTCAGTAGGATCAAGTTTCAATAATGATGTAATAACCTCTAATCGAAATGAAGGAAACGGTGTATGTCCTTCATTTCTCAATTTATATAAAGCATGAGCATTGGATAGACATAGATCAATAAGGAGAAAAAATAGCTTGCGATACCACTTCATTGATTTTCTCACTGTTTCTGTTATAGATAATTGTCTATCTACATTATCTACACCGCCCATATTTTTATTATATTCGTGGACAAACGTTGGCTTCATAATGTCTTCATTTGTTCGATGATTCCTTTTTCCAGTTGCACAGAATTCAAGTTCGTGCACACTTGTAAGCATGTAAACACAACGTTTATCTTGCCACTTTATTGCCATCCACACATCATTATGAGCGACTTGTACTTCACCTCGCACTAATTTGTTTTCTAGCTTTGGCATTCCCTTTCTATTTGCTTTTACCGTGCCACACATTCCTGTGTCACGATCATGTAAAAATTCTGTCAAAATAGAAGATGTATACCAATTGTCTATATACACAACATGACCCTTATAAAAATAAGCTTGTAAGAAGTGAGCGACAATATCGCCAGTAACACCCAAACCAAACTTTTGATAATCAGTATCTGCACCAGTGTAAACAATAAAGCCCAATATGAATCCAGTCTCGCAGTCTACTAACTCAAAAAGCTTGATGCCAAAACGATTTCTCTTCAAGGGAATATATTGCTTGAATCGAAGCCTACCTTTCCATAATAACAAACTTTCATCTATGCACAGATTTTTGCCTGGAATAAGAGCTGCCGAGAATTTACTTTGTAGGTGATCTATTACTGGCTTTATTTTCACTAAAAGATGATCTACGATTTCTGAGTCATCTTCGTTATCGTGAAAATGTAAATAACGCAGAATTTTAATATACCTATCACGAGACATTATTTGACCAAAAATTGGAGTGTGCAACAAATGATCTGTAGACCAATATTTTTTCAAGTTGCCTTTCCGAACATGGCCCATTAGAATCGAAAGACCGAGAAAATTTTCAAAGTCATTTGTTGTGAGAGGACACCAAGCTTTTATATGGGAAGTTTGAACTTCATGATTTTGAGTTTCATAACGATTCGTCTCCTCTATAATCCTTTCAAGCAGAGAAGAATCACAAAAATAATTGAAATAATCAATTGGCCTATTCCTCGATGTAGAGATATTCGGATTTATTTCGGAGCTACCATCGAATTTTTTGATAGATGGGTAAAAATATGCGTCCTCAAAAATTTGATTTCCGCCATAATCGTCTCCCAAATCAATATCACCAATTTCTTCAGTCTCTGAGTCTCGTACCTCTGGTTCGGACTCGCCACTACTCTAAGCTTCATTTTTAGCCATTTTATCAAAGATAAGAATCTGATGTACTGTTTGGATAATAGTGTCAAAATAATAATAATAATAATAATAATAATAATAATAGTAATAAATACTGGAAGAGTTCTAATCAGTAATATATTATAAATGAAAAGTAGCAATCTGCAGCACCTTTACTTTATACAAGAAAATGAGTAAACAATTTTAGTCCTCTACAAGAAAGAAAGAACCGAGTGCTAACCCGCTGGCAGGTACTAACGACAATTTCAATTTTTGACCCTGAATTCACCTTGAAGATGAGTTTCGCGATACGCGGTACTATTTTTTTGTACTCAGCGCATCTAAAAACATGGGTATACCAACTTTGAGGCCAAAATAATAGCAAAAAAAATTGACCTTTAAATAGCGATTTTCAAGGTCAAGGATGCTCCCAGGAATTTTTACACTATTTTTCCCATATTCAACGCATAAAATTTTCCCTGAAAAAACATCAAATATTATGTGTCTCCTGGTTGGTCAATATATCGACCACTCCCGCCCTTAAAAGGTTAAGCCGATTTCGGAACCAACTCCAGCAGTGAGCCCGTTAGTAATAGTCAAGAGCAAAGGAAAAATACGTCCGTGCATTGACCTGAACAAAATTATCAAGAGACGATATTTCCCGCTCAAGACATTAGAAGATATTACCACTAACTTGACGGGCGCAAAATATTTCACAAAACTAGATTCTGGCAAATAAAAGTTTCAGAAAGAACTTCAAGATATTTGACGATAAATATCCCGTGGGAGAGATATAGATTTTTACGGATTCCCTTTAGTATCAAATCGGCTCCTGAGATTTTTCAAGAGGTAATGACGAAGATACTACAAGGCATTGACAATGTAGAAATATCTATGGATGATATTTTAATCTATGCATCTACGAGAGAACAGCTACAAAAAGTAACGGACAACGTACTACGAAGATTATATGAAGCCGGAATACGTTTGAATAAAGAGAAATGTCTTTTTGAAAAAACATCAGTGCCATTTTTAGGCCATATTGTGACTAATGAAGGTTTGAAGCCGGATACAGAAAAACTCAAAGCGATTGATATACTAAAAACACCAAAAGATGTTCAAGGAGTGCGTAGAATATTAGGCACCGTTACTTACTTATCCAAATTTATACCAAAGTTATCAGAAATAACTGAGCCGTTGAGACATTTACTAACAAAAGATGCAGTATGGCACTGGAACATAGAGCAAGAAGAAGCTTTTAATAAGATTAAAGAAGTATTAAAAACTCCTCTTGTACTTGCATATTATAATCCGAAGATATCAGTTAGGTTAATGGTAGATGCCAGTTCAACAGCTGTAGGCGCGGCGTTATTACAAAATAATCAGCCGGTTGCATATGCAACAAAAGCTTTAACAGAAGCACAACAGCGATATCCACAATTGGAAAAGGAGGCTTTTGCAATCAGGTTTGGATGTTTTAAATTTTATGATTTTGTTTACGGTAAAACTCTGACGATACTTACTGATCATAAGCCGTTAGAATCAATAAGTAAAAAGGTTTTAGCAAACCAACCACCACAACTTCAAAGAATTTTCTTCGATGTTTTACAATATGCTCCAACGATTCAGTATGTACCAGGTAAAGACATACCGTTAGCAGACACATTAAGTAGAGATTGTATTAATCTACAGGGAGAAACAAATACAGAACCAGAAGTGGAAATATGTGTCGTCATCCCGTATTCGCAAACGGCTATTGAGCAACTAAAACAAGAAACCAACGCAGATCCTCTGATGGCAGCTCTTAAAAGAACACTGAGGATAGGATGGCCAGACAATGTAAAGGAGCTGGACTATCCAATACGACAATTTTGGAATTATCGAGACGAAATTATAGTGATAGATGACATTGTATTTAAGAATTCCAGACCAATGATTCCTGCAGTATTACATCCAAAATACTTACAATTGGCGCATAAAGGAGGCCATTTAGGAATACAAGCAATGTTGCATCGTGCACGAGAAGTCATGTTCTGGACAAAGATGAGTGATGATATAGAGGACTACGTAAACAAATGCGCAGTGTGTCAAAAAACGCAACGGATAAGGATCCTCTAATTTTAATAGAGGTACCAAAACTACCGTCGGAAATTGTAGCAGCTGACTTTGCTAGCATAAAGGGTAAGCAATACCTTGTCATAGCTATTCGGGTTTCTATGACTTCGCTATGATACAACCAGTAGATACTGGTCAGACCGTGACAGCATTTAAACGGTGGATTTCAGTACATGGTGTACCACGTATTCTAGAAACAGATAACGGACCGCAATTTGCATCGGCAGAATTCAAGGAATTCACAAAAAGTTGGAACATCGAACATCGTACATCGAGTCCAAGATTTCCCCGATCAAATGGTCTTGCAGAAAGAGCAGTACAAGCTGTCAAGTATTTATTCCGTAAATGTACGATTGACAAAAGTGACATTTACGAGGCGTTGCTAAATATACGCAATGTACCTCGGAACAGCGTCTTCGGTTCACCAGTCCAACGTCTGTTTAGCCGGCAAACACGCACACCCATGCCGACTACTGAAACAATATTAAGACCCAAGATACAAGAGAATGTACAAGAAGAATTAGAGCGACACCGAATGATCCAGAAAAAGTACGCAGACCCACAACATCATCGATCCTTAGAACCAGGTAACACAGTAAGAGTCTACCAGGAAAATCGTAATTGGATCCCGGGTCAGGTGATAACAAAACGATCCGAACCACGATCATATGACGTACAGTTGCAATCGAGTACTGTACGATCATACGACGCAACACACAACATGTGCGCCCAACAGCGGCCTCACTACCATCGGAACCTATGCAGGAAGTCAGGCCACCACCACCAGAAGTAATTCCAGACGTACCAGCTACTTCGCAACCGACAGCGGACATCCCTCCATCTTCTGGAACGTGCTCGAATAGACATCGGACAACCCGCTATGGACGAACTATCAAAGCTCCAGATCGATTAAATTTATAACTTCCAGAAAGGGGGATGTAACGATGGCGCCAGGAGTTTTTATAGATGGCGTTCACTTTTCACTACAGACTTATCTTTCTATTCTATGTATAACCTATGTTCACTATTCATCTTAATAAAGCATCTTACAAGCATACGAGCACGTTACAATACCCAGAAATATCGAAAGGAGTGGGAGAAATTAGAGGCGGTAAAAGATTGGCTCAATCCATCCACTTCCAACTTGTCAAAGGCATATTGCAAATATTGCAAAGTGTTGCTCAACGCTAAACTAGGAGATCTTATAAAACATGGACAGACTTTAAAACAACATTGCAGCATCGAAGCCATTTTCGAATAAAAGACAACATGTAATACCATTTCAACCCATCAATACATGTACCAAAGAACAACGTAAAGAAGCTCAACTTTCTCTCTATATCGCCGTACATACATCAATCGCAAGTGTTGATCATTTAAGCGATCTCCATAATGATACGCCTTTTATTATAAACTTACATAGAACAAAATGTACAAACATAATAAACAATGTAATAGGACCTCATTTCTACGAGGCGCTAGTCAAAGACATTGGAAATGAATATTATAGTTTATTAATAGATGAATCTACCAAGGGCGCAACAACCTCGTAAGCTTAGGGGGTGTCCAACAGTGACTTTCTTGAATACTAAAAAAAAAAAAGGGTCCTTGAATTTGCCCAATGAATTTACTGCGGTAATTATTTAATAATATTATTTTTATAATAGAAAATAATCTATTATTAAGAGATAAGCTGAAGGTCTTTAAAGAAAGAAATACTACTTATTTTTTCCATTCATTTTTTTTTGTTTTTAATAAAATTAATTGTTTTCAAATGATTTTGTGGTGTTATAATTATTAATATATAAATCTTATAGCTAAATTCATTCCGTACATTTCAAATTTACTCGCCTTGAAGAGGCATTAACTAATCACATCGCGAATAAAACGAACGTGTCACGTGACAATGGATTTTTTAAAGATAGATTATATTTTCCAAATACAGTTTTTCTATAATCATTGAAATCAACAAAGTCGGTAGCTAAATCTATAATATCTATTGTATCTAAAATGTGCTTATGAACATAACATATCGCTAAATTGCTCAGTCGTTTCTGCGTCATTGTACTACGTAAGTAGGTTTTTAATCGACGAAGTGCGCTAAAGCTTCGCTCAGCTTCACAAGATGAAGCAGGACACGTCATTAGAAGTTTTATTAAAATTTCCACTTCAGTAAACATATCTTTGACCTATAGAAATTATTAACATCATTACATTTGTCATTTTTACTAGATTCAATTAAAATTTATTATACGATTTAATTTAATGCAAATAATGAGTTTCAAAGAGATAAAGAAGTTTTTGAAATGGACACCCAATGACGGGGTGTCCATTGATCTTCAGGGGGTGTCCGGACACCCTGGACACCTCCCGTTGTTGCGCCCCTGGAATCTACTGACATCACAGTCAACAAAATTCTTGGTATCGCCATTAGATATTACAGCGCCGAAGGAAAAAAAATCGTATCAACCTTTTTCAAGTTAATCCATATCGAAAATGGCACAGCGGAATCCATTACAAATGCAATAAAAAAGTTATTAATTGATACAAAGTTGCAGTTAATTAAAATGCAAGGGATTGGCACTGATAATGCATCAACAATGGTAGGAGTAAATTCAGGTGTTTACGCGCAATTAAAGAAAGACGTACCTCATCTAATATTAATTAGATGCATGTGTCACTCACTTCAACTTGTCATTTCAAAGGCGACAGAAAATACGCTGCCTCGAAATATTGAATTTTTAATTAAAGAAACCTATAATTGGTTTGCTTATTCGTCTATAAGACAGTTAAAATATGCGCACATCTATCAAACATTAAATAATGACCAAGAACCTTTGAAAATTTTACGAATCGCAGAGACGCGATGGTTATCAATCGAGCCCGTAATTAAACGGATTTTAGATCAATGGACAGAGTTGAAAATGCACTTCGAAATTTCACGAGTCAATGACAATTGTTACACAGCTGAAATGTTATATGCCATGTATTGTGACAAGAAAAATTTAATTTATTTTAATTTTCTATATCCGATTTTAAACATGGTGCAAAAAACAAACAAAAACTTTGAATCAAAAGTAGCTGATCCAACAAAGCTTCTTTCAGACATTAAAAGGCTTTAATCAATGATTGTCAATAAAATTATACTCCCAACAGCGAGAATAAATATTTACGAACAAGACATCGAAAAATATTTGGATCCCTCGTCTTCTTTGGATTATGCGTATGAATTTTCTTGTAAAGAGAACGGAATCTTTGGCCAGAAAAAAGAAAATTTGAAATTTCGATGTGTCTCTTTTCTAATTGCTCTGGCAAACGAACTAAAAAACCGTTTACTTGATAATATCAAGACATTGGAGCGCATGAGTGCTTTTTCTGTGACTGAATGCTTAAAAGCAAACAAACTTCCGATTACAGATATAGTTGCGTATTATTTTAAAAAAGACTTGACAACTATCGCTCAAATCGAATTAGAGTGGGAGAATATTCATCATATTAGATGGAAAGAAACACAAGATATAAAAAAATTTTGGATTGAGGTAAAAGATTATCGAGATGTTTGTGGAGAAAATCCTTTCGAAAACTTAGTTAATTTGGCTTTTAAAATTCTATGTCTTCCTCACTCTAATGCCGATATTTAGCGAGTTTTTAGTCAGATAAATTTGATTAAATCTAAGTTGCGAAACAAAATGAAACTTCCGTTATTGAATAATATATTATATATTCGGTTTGGACTCAAAAGGCTTGATCTTTGTTGTAATAACTACACTTTACCAGAACATGTTTTAAAAAATATAGGTAATAATAAAACATGAAAAACTGATACCAGATTTAAATCTTTTTGAAGAGGAAGAGCTACATCAGATGTTGTTATAAGGTCTGTTCTTTATGGCTGAACTTTTGCACCAGTTCATTTTTTTTCCTTTTCCCTTCTCCTGGAGAGAAAAGGAAGATGAACTAGTGCAAAAGTTCAGCAATAAAGAACAAACCTATAATAATATATTAATAGCGTTTTCGAATGGAGTGGGTTTGAACCACAGATTTCTATATATTACACTAGACTGCTAACCCCTATTGTTTTCCTTATATACAAGTGTTGCTATGTAAAAGTATGCGCGAAGTGGATGCGCAGTATAGGCATTATGTAATATGTCCGCCACGCGGGCAATGTGCACGTATTGACACGTATATATCGCCAATACATCTTGCGAGAATAATTATTTTAAAAATGCCGAGACACTGTAAAGTGCTCAATTGTGGAAATAAAGGCGGAGGAATGCATTCTGTGTTCAGATAAAAAATAAACTAATATTAGATAAAAACTTGTATTGGTTATATTGCATATTTTTAATTTAATACATATTTTAGATTTCCACAAATAGAAAGTATTGCAGCAAAATGGATCGAAGCAACTGGGCGAAAAAATTGGATACCTGATGAATCCAGTGCAATTTATGATATACATTTTAAATCAGAAGATTTTAACAATAATAAAACAAGAATTCGTTTAAAACCAGATACAATACCAACTCAAAATTTATTTAAAAATTTGACAGTTACAGGTAAATAAAGAATGTATTTAAATTATAACGTATGATTTTACTAAATATTAACTCTGCGAGAGAATCAACGGCATTATTGAAAAGCTAACATACTTATATTTATAGTTGCAGATTTCAGTAAAAGACAAGCAATTGAAAATATTACTGATGAAAATAATCAAAGACAAGAAATTGGAAGTATTATTGCAGAAGACAATAATCAAAGAGAAGAAATTGGAGATATTATTGAAGAAGAAGATAATGAAAGTAATGAATAGAGATGTAACGAATATTCGCTTTCGCATCATTATTGTCAGTATTATTGTATTTTATATTTTGTATTTTTGTCAGTATTATTGTCAGTATTATTGTATTTTATATTTTGTATTTTTGTCAGTATTATTATCAGTATTATTGTATTTTATGTTTTGTATTTTTGTCAGTATTATTGTCAGTATTATTGTATTTTTATTTTATATAATTATAATTAATGTACTTTGTATATATTTTATTTGATTATTTAATTTAAAATAAATAAGTCGTTCATATGCAAATACTAATTTACACATTTGCATTCATCTCTCTCACATTTTTGTCAGTCCATCATTCAATAATTTAAATAGAAATTAGAGCAATATTTTTTAAATATTATATATTATTTTCCGTGACTGTCTGTAATTGTAGCTGATTTCATTCAGCAAAAAAAAAAAGATCTTTCGCATTCGTTTTCGGATTCGCCTTCGCTATAACCACTTTCGTTACATCCTTAGCAATGAAATACAAAATTCCGTATGTACACATGTGTGTGTGCATGCGTGTAGTAGTATTGTTGGGACCTGCCCATAATGAAGGAAGTATTAGAATGGGAATATAAATATAAGAATTTCAACCTATCAAAAACCATATATTCCGTAGTACATACACATCAGTTTCTGATAGATTATTTATAATTGTTATATTTAATACCAAATATTTCCTCTTCTGCGCAGGCTTTTATTTAATATAACAGTTATTTACTTTATAGAAGCAGAAGTAAATACAAGGAAGCGAAAAAATACAAATATATTAGAGGAGATGAAAACCAAAATGCAGAAATTAGAAGAAGAAAATAATAAATTAAAATATGTTAGAAGAAAAATATATGTTAACAAAAAACGAAAAACGAAATACAAATACAAAAACGAATACAAATTGAAACATTTGGATTAACAAAGTTACTAATTAAAAGATTAGATTTAAAGATATTAAATAAAGTTAGACGTACATTAGTATTAGATAATACAGTATTTCCTAATTTGTTGTGCGATGACGAATTTCTAGAAATACCACATAAAATAAAATTAATTACAGCAATATCAAGTAGGTATATGAAAATTAGAT